ACCATTTGTTAAACAAACATTCTCTTGCCCATTTAATGGATTTCAGCCCTTTGTCAAAGATCAGCTGACCATAGGTCGATGGATCTATTTCTGGGTTCTCAATTCTATTCCATTGGTCTATGTGTCTGTCATTAAACCAATATCAGGCAGTTTTGACTGCTGTCAGCCATTGCAAACCTTGTGTAACACAGTTGCACTCTGACACACATGAGGTCATCATGAGTTGGAGCCAACTTGACAGCAACTGGGTTTGCTTGTTTTACTACCTTCTAGGCCGGGGAATAAGGAGCTCTGGTGGTGTGCTGGTTAAGGCGTTTGGCTGCTAACCAGAAGGTCAGTGGTTGGAACCCACCAACCGTTCTGAGGAAGAAAGATGAGGTAGTCTGCTTTTGTAAAGATCCGCAGCCTTGGAAACCCAATGAGGGTTGCTATGAGTTGGAATTGACTTGATGTCAGAGTTTGGTTTTGGTGTTTAGAGGTCTGAGAATACAAAAACAAACAAAACCAACACGAATTTTGGCCCTTCTGGCCCTGGGGGGGCAGCCACTTGAGCTGGAGGATGGATGGATGCATGGAGGCGTACCAGGGGGAGGATGTGACCGGCTTCGGCTAGTGCTGCTGGCAGGTCAAGCACCGTTGGCCCTCATCGTTGGAGCCAGGCACCCATGACCTCTGGCACCTTGGAGCCAGACTGGAGTGGGATTGAGAGAAAGGAGGAGAAGAACTGGAGACTTCGAGGCCAGACCCTTATCTGGAGATTTATGGAGCAGGACACAGAGGAAGGGGCCTCTGGGGCGGAGCAGTCCCTCCGGAGACAGACGTTTCTTTAGCTCTTACTGGTGGACACTCTAGCCTTTCTGGTGGAACAGCTTGGTGGGAAGGACACCCCGAGGCAGCTGGGCGGCTGTGGCCGGGACGACCTGGGCTCCACGGTGTGGTCGCCCCTACCACAGCAGCTCAGGCCTTCACCTCCAGGATGCAGCCTGCCAGGGCCGCTCCCAGGGCTTTGCACCCACGATCAAACCTGCCTCTAAGGTACCTGTCAGGTAACTAATCAGTTGCATTTATATGTTGGCTCAAAGACTATGAGCTCCTTGAGTTATCTGCTTCTCTCCTGAACTGACCAACTTTGTGAAGCTCATCCAACTTTTGTTGTACTTGTAACATAAAAGTAGTGAGGGAGGAGTGGAGGGAGGGAGGAGAGGAGGGAGGGAGGAGGAAGGGAAGGAAAGCTTCCAGGTGTAAAATTTTCAGAATTAACTACTTCAGAAAGTTAGCATCAAATACCATTTTGTGAACTATGCAGCTATATTATATGTTAATAAAAGCTGAAAAAGTTACTTCGGATTTGTAAGGGTGCTAAAATAACTGTTCTGCATATTAGCTGCTCCCCACACTGCCTGTTTGAAAGTGCACATAAACAGAAAGAAACCCTTTTTCCTGCTTTCAATCCTCCCTAAATTCCCCATCTCCTGCCAGGACTGCACACCTAAGCAGGCCGTCATTGTTGGCTAGGGCCCATCCCTGGGCTGACATCTCCCCCACCAGTTCCAAATACCCTGAGGCCAGGATGATGCTGAGCAACAGGGGGTGCACAGAGGCGGGGTGCACAGAGGCGGGGTGCACAGAGCAGGGCACACGGAGTTAGAATGCACAGTGGGGCACGCAGAGCGGGGTGCACAGAGCAGGATGGACAGAGGGGAGCACAGAGTGAGGTGCAGAGGTGAGGTCACAGAGGTGGGCTACAGAGCAGGTTCAGTGGCTAACAGACAGGGATCCTGTCCACACTGTCTACACAGCCGACCACACTTGACATGTCCACACCTTTGAACTCTTCGCCTTTTCTGGAACTCAGAACTGTTCTAGGAAAAGTCCTTCCAGTTCCAAACTATGGGGCTAAGGGAACCGGGAGAGGAGCAGCAGCCGCCTGCCGACAGCCTACTGGCTCCTGGACTCCTGGGCCCACCCCTTGTCCCTTGTTGGCTGGTCAAAAATATGGCCAGTTTATGTAAAATCCTGTTTTGTTCACAGTAACCACTCCCTCCTTCCCCCAACTAAACCAGCCAAGCTCCCTTAAAATTCTGAGGCCTTCACTTGACAAAAAGTCCCAGGCCACTTCTGCGCAGCCATCCACCCACAAGGGGCAAGGGAGGGGCGGCAGGGATGACCCTTGTTCCAAAGGGCACGTCGCCTTTGCTCCATCTGGTGGCTTGAGTCCAGGGGGCCCCAGAGGTGGCGGACGATCACATAGTGGACCCCAGTGCCAAGCTGGACGGGAGGGGTGGTCAGCGGGCCGCCTGGTGCCCTTGAACCACCGGCCACGGAGCCCCCAGTGCTGAGTCAGGGCCACGAGCGCGGCCACACCAACCTCGGGAGATTTTGGGGGCTCCCCCAGGAAGAGAGCGAGCCCCGGGCCGCGGGAAGCCAGGTGGGCAGCAGGCTGGCCCCGACCAAGCCTGCGCCCCGCGGCGCGGGAGGGCCCCAAGGTGCCAGGCTGCGCGCAACAAAAGCCGGGGCTTTGGGGAGGGCCGGGCGGCGCGGAGGAGGGGGCTGCTGGGAGCCCGCGCTGCACTGGCCGCCAGCCACCGGGAGGAGGAGCAGAGGCTCCCTGAGCGCAGTAAAACGCCCGCGCGGCCGAGCGCGCACCACACGGTCCGTGCCAGGCAGAGCGAGGCGAGCCGAGCCAGGCTGCGGCGCCTGCCCGCCCGCCCTCTGCTCCGCGCGGGAAAGCGCCCA